GACATGATACTATCTGGGTGATTGTCGACTCTCTCACTAAGTCGTCACACTTCTTGGCTATCAAGATGATCGACCCTTTGGAAAAGTTAGTAAGAGTATATATTCGGGAGATAATCAAATTACATAGAGTTTTAGTGACAGTGGTATCCGATAGAGGCCCTAGGTTCATCTATCGGTTTTGGTCTAGTTTTCAACAGGCCATGGGAAGGAAATTGTCCCTTAGTACCGCATTCCACCCTCAAACTAATGGATAATCAGAGAGGATGATTCGCATACTAGAGGATATGCTTTAAGCTTGTGCTCTAGACTTCGAGAGCCATTGGGATGATCACCTACCTTTGATAGAGTTCGTTTACAATAACAGCTACCAAACAAGTACTGACATAGCCCCGTACGAGGCACTGTATGGCCGTCCCTGCAGGTCACTGATTTGTTAGGAAGAGGTGAGTGATAGAAAGTTATTCGACCCAGATCTTGTAGAGGAGACTACAACCAAGATAATTGAAATTATGAAGAACATTCAGATAGCTCAGAGTAGGCAGAAGAGTTATGCAGACACCCAAATGAGGGATTTGGAATTTAAAAAAGTAATCGAGTATTTCTTAAGGTCACATCTTTCAAGGGGATCATTAGGTTTGCCAAGAGGGAGAAATTAAATCCCCAGTTCATCGGGCTATTTGAGATCTTAGACCAGATTGGTACGACCGCCTACAGACTAGCACTACCTCCAGAGCTATCCAGGGTTCATAATGTATTCCACATATCCATACTATGTAAGTACAACCAGGACCCCTCACACATTTTATCCCACGAGTCTCTTTCACTCCAGGAAGATCTATCCTACAAGGAGGTGCTGGTAGGCATTGTAGACCGGAAGAGCAAAGTACTTCGCAACTGAGAAATTCCCTTTGTTAAGATCCTATAGCAGAACCATACGCAGGAAGAGGCCACTTGGGAACTGGAATCAAGCTTCAGGGCTTAGTACCCTCAACTATTCGATTGAGTGAGAGAGTGACCAATTTAAGGGATCAAATTTTTTTAAGGGATGAGAGTTGTAATACCCGAGCCCAAAAAATAATCTGGGATAATTTTTTCTCATTAAATTATTTTATTAGAATAATTATTTAATTTAGTTTATTTTTATTTAATTAAAATTTTGAGAAAAAATGAATTATGGACGAGATTGAAAATAATTCTGAAAAAAATGGGTGAAAATTTGAGTTTAGGGGATATTTATGAAAGAAAAATTAGAAATAGATGGTCAAAGTGCAGAAAATAAAAGTTCGACCACGTGGGATGGCCCAATCAGCAGTTCTGACGAACCGGAACATGCTGTGTGTCAAAACACGTTGACATTGGTGCCACGCAGGCAATCCGCATGCCCAGCGATCTGACGGCCCAGTTTCGATCCTGCATACGTGAACAGCTCAAATTTGTTCCCTTATTAGGTGCGATCAGACGAACGAGATCAATCGTGTTGAATGACCCATATTTGCCCACGGAATTGGCCTAAACAGGTAAAGATCGGACGTCCTCATTGCTCCATGTCGACGTGAATGAACAGTCCAAATCGACGCCAGATGGGTATAAATACCTTGTGTCACATAAAAACTCAAACCATAACCGCCAGCCCCTGTCGGAGAAGAAGAATAGGTGACGGAAAAGAAGGTCGACCACCGACTGCCATCGCACCAGAGCCACTGCCGACCATTAAAAAAGGTAAAAAAATTTCCTACTCGTTCGGAATTCGATTTCGAGTCTCCCTGTGGCTATATTGGAGCAAGAGGGACGGCGGGTGAGCAAAAAACTACGGGCAAAGCCCGGCGGAGCCGCCGCAGCCAAAACCCAAAAATCCCTCCGATAAGTCCCTTTCTGCTTCCTGTTTCACATAATTTTTTGATTATTGTATTCACCGTCCTTTTTGTGTTAGTTAATTGAAGAAGGAACTCTAGCTACGAAGGAGGACGGCGGAGACCCCCGCCAGTAAGTTCATTTTTTGTGTTTTTTGACCAACTAAGACCCCATAACATATTTTTTTGTTGGGATACATAAATAATCGGCCAAAACAGGCCAGGTCGATGCAAACTACCGCCATGGTCGGTGGAGCTGGTGCCGGAACACGGTGGCACTACCATGCCGGAACCCCAAAATTGGCCAGAAAGAGTTTTGGACATGATTTTAGATTTTTGGGATATTTTTAGGTACGTGACGAGTGTTTTGAATTTTACAAAAAAAATCAAGGAAACCTAATACCCGTTAGGAGATATAGTAGACAATACAACATCTCGAAACATCGATCGGGGTAAGGATCCCTCATCTTATTCCCTGTTATGGTAAATTGAAGCTTAATGATGTATAATTTTATATTTTTGTGAAAATTTAAAAAACCTAAAAATACTTACAAGTCATTAATAGAGACGGAACCGGTTCGTTCATAATTGTCATAATTTCTTGTTTATTTTCCTATATTGTCCTACTTACTTGTTATCATATTGTACATGTTCTTAATTTATAGTTTCTATAGTGTTATCAATTTATCTAGTTTATTCAGTTATCTAGTTACTCGGTCCCTTGTTATGATAAACTATATCATCTGCATAAATGTCGTCTAATTGATTTGTAAATATAATATAAAATATTGGTATTTGTTTATTGGTTGTTTTGTTGATGAGAATCTTTATGTGAAAGACTTACTGGGTATTTAGAGAAAGGCCGGATGGGCCTAGCACATAGGAAACTTTACTGTAAACATTACCTCAGCTGGACGGGGTTGGAAAGTCCCTTATTGAAAGGTTTGGGAGATATAGTTCACTTTCATACCGGACGGGGTATCGAGACGATAGAATGATTGGCACCCATTACCGAACGAGGTATGAAGACGACCAATTAATTATTAAACTTAGATATTAGGTTCACAAGTAGGGGGACATCCCAATTAGTCAACCCCCAGGAGTACCAATAAGTAAGTAAGAAAGAAAAATTGTCGTATCTTATTCTCTTATGCGTGAAAATAAAAAGCAATATAAATATAGGTCTTTATAAATTATTTTTGAAAAACTTGTAACGGTAAGTATTAAACAAATATTTTTAAGTTAAATGTATTAAATTAAAGTAAGGGCTCCATTAGTTATTTTTCTGATTTTTACCAATATTTAATTTTTTGCATTTGTGATTAATGTGATATTTTTACTAAGTTACTGTATATCACTATTTCATTAACTATTTCATATCAAGAAGACCAAGATTCAGATCCCGGTCAGTAAGAGGGTTGTGAGTAGTTCACTATCTAGACTCTCTTTTTAAGTGCTAGTGAAAGTTGTACTAAAATGCTTATTTACTAACTTTTCTTTAATTACCGTTTCTCTTTTAGAAGAGACATTCTCGTAACCCTATTGAACATTCTAAATTATTGTGTAAGGAATATAAACCATAACTTTATTATTCGCTTCCACATTTAAATTATAAATTCATTTCTTTTAAGGTTCCGGACTTTTATATATTTTTTGTATCTTTTAGAAATAAATTCTACCATTTATGTAAAAGATTTACTTATATATTTATATAAATTTGAGAAAAAAAAATTATTTGAAATAGTAAATGAAATCTCTCTCTCTCTCTCTCTCTCTCTCTCTCTCAATATATATATATATAATAAATAAAAAGAAAAAAATAATAATGTTTGGTTGCATACCCATTGAAAATGCACAAGAAGATGACTCCTAAACTGTAAGCAACACCCCATATTTATCATATTTAATTCTATGCCATTCCTATGTATATGTTTATAGTAATATATAATTAAAATTTTATTAATTGGGAGCATTTCTAGTTGTGTGAAATGATGCAATCATTTCATTACGAAGTTTTAGATTTACTTTTATAATACCTAACTAGTTGATGATTTAGACAGAGACTTTTGATCACAACTAAAAAAAAAAAAAAAGAATAAACAGTCCCACCATCTTCATTTAGTTTTTATAAATATTTTAATAAATTAAAATTAAAATTTTATTCAATTAAATATTATAAATTAATTATTTTTTTTATAATATAAATAAATAAAAAGAAGAAATAGGGGGAGAGTATAGCCAATCATTAATTTGTTTATTAATAAAAACAAAACTCCATACATTTTTATTGTTATTATCATCTCATTTTATTATTATCATTATTATTATTATTATTATTATTTTGTGTGCGTATGAAGGGAACAAATGAAGATAGGTAGTTGGTGGGCCTTATATTCACAGAGAGAGAGAGAGAGAGTCCCATCAATATATACAGTAACTTTTAACCCTTCAAATTAAAGATAATTTAATTATTTTGAAATTTTTATAAACATAATAAATTTTTTAAAATTTAATTTAACCACTGTAATCTTGATAAGACAGTAATAAAGTAAATCCTTAATTCTAAAACTATAATATTCTCAAAATTTTATGTCAATAATAAACTTTAAATTATTAAACTATTATAACACACATGATATAATAAATATTATATATATGTATAAGGGATAGGTAATATATAAAATAATTTTTAATTATAAATTATGATTAATGGTTTTTTTTTTTTATGTCAATATAAAGTATTAATGAGCATAGTCTATAGATGATATTTTTGGTAGTCTTTTAAATTCATATTCACCTCTTAAAATACCCTTAATTTTTCAAAAATTAATATTTATAATTTATATTAAATTTAATATATACATATATATATATTTATAATAATTTCGTTAACAAATATTGAAATACTTATTTGATTTGAATAAGCATTGGCCTAACAGCCAAATAATTTTAAAAAATTAATAATAATAATAATAAGTTGAAGGGATTGTATCAATCAACAATGAAATATGATAATTGATAAGCAAAGTTGAATAGGTACAAGATAAAGCAAACTGGAACCCACCTTCCAATAACTTCCAAAAATAGGATTAGACAATAATAATCCTTCAATAATTCTCATTAATTTATTTTTCTTACTCTATTCCTCAACTCTCTAAGCTTTTCCCTACAACAACCAGAAAATACTTTCGTTTCCTTCCTTTCTTCTTCTCCTTCTTCTTGTTCAGATGATATCAATGGCTCTACCCTTGTCTTCTCCCCCTCATATTTCACTTCATCAATTTCCTTCTGCTGCTATAAACCCTGTCAAAAACAAGATTTTCTTTTTTAAACACTGCACTCAACTGCCCTCCCACAGGCCACTTTCACTTCAGATCAGATCCTGCTGCATCAAAAACAAGGTCAACTTCTCCTTCTTCTAATAATCATAATCAATTTCATCTCTCTCTCTCTCTCTCTCTATATATATATATATATTATATTATATTCATTGATGGCTGCAATCTTAGTTCACAGGTCTTTGAAGATCAGTCCCAGGGTATAATTTGTTATCAAGATCAAAGTGGAGAATTAGTGTGTGAAGGATATGATGAAGGTCCTCGTTTTCAACACACTGCAAGAACATCATATCATTCGAGGTAAGGTATTCTTTTCCTGTTTATATAACCAGCGCAAAGAAAATCAAGTATTAATTATGAAAATCCTGTTTATATGTTTTCAGATTAATTGATGGGCATTTTTATTTCTCCCTCCAATATTTTTGTATTGAGTTCAGGGATGCAGAGATTCTTGATCTTCTTCAACAGAGATTTCTGGAAATTGTCGACGGTGGTGGATTCAACAACAGCGCAAGCAAAGGAGTTGTTGCCATTCAAGAAGACTTTAATTGGAATGGGTTTAACAAATTCTACTAATTACCCACATGATGCCTGACTTCACTTGTCTCAAATTTTTACAGACTTCTCCTTCAACTTTGATATGTGTATGTATATGTATATATATATATGTATATATATATACATATGTTATATGAATAGCTTGGGACCAGTATTTTGTCTTCGAACAACTTCTTCCACAATCTTAGGGGTGAAAGTTGCAATTCCTACTTAGTTTTCCTCAGGAAATGCTTTTGACAGGAATGCAAAAGTAAAACAAAATACAAGAAGAATCAAATTGATGGCACTAGCTGATGCTTTTCTGTTTTGTTTTATCTCCCAAAAAATCTATCCTCACTTGGGTTAACATCAATTTTACAACTTTTACTAGTAGATTTTATTTTGCAATCAAATTTAGTTAGGGAAGTTAGTACATATTACAATGATTTAATACTGTAAATTCACTGTAATTTCCGCAATCATGTCACTCTATCCCTTTCAGCTAAACTTTGTTATCAGCTGAAAACAAAATTTTTTTAGTACAACGTAATATAGTTTATTTACATTAGACAAGAGTTAGAGCTATTTATCTAACATAGAAGAAAGTACAGATAACTGTCCGGTCATAACTCGTAGGTTTAGCCGAGCACAATTTTAGTTCTAGAGAAATGGTTCTCCTTCTAACCAAGGTACATGGTGGGAAACGATCAGAAAAGGTAAAACTGGATGCACTTTCACTCATTACCATTAAAAATAAAAGCTGAAAAGAAAAACCCCCCAATTCATTTACACTCTTGAATGCTAAGTACATGAACAAATACTTGTACAAAGACTCTGGAGAGAGGTAATCCAATACTGTACCTGTGACAGAGATTCCTGTGGTTTTCTTTTAATAGATTTGTTCTGCATCTCCTAGAAAACAATAATGACTCTAAAAACAGAAAAGGAATTTCTACCTAAAAGAATTTTAGAACTATGAAAAACAAATATATGAACTAGGGGAGAAAAAAAGACCTGAGACCTGTGGGTTTGTAGTAAATTCCCACTTCACACATTTCACTGTACAATATAAAATTCATTGACTCATTCAGCTGGAGTACTACATTGTGAGTTTTCTTCACATAAATCAGACTGGCTTTTACTTGGAATGATATGAGGAGGGGACCATTGATCAGGGACCATCAAGAAATAGGTAGTCATGGCTTTTCTGAACCTTTTCTTGTATTGCTTAGGTGAAATTACGGTTGGTGATGCATTCTTTGGGCCACCAAGTATGCCTGAAGCTTTCACCCATGTTTCAAGATGCTTGTCCCACGTATATTGCCTCATGAAATCAATGATGCCTAGAACCAATTCATGCTTCTCCTCGTCCACTCCAACCAATAATGAGTAATCCATTACATCAGCTGACTGCACCAGGAGGAGATGCAAGAGTAAATTAAAAATTGATAACGAGAATGTCATTTTGAGAAACATACAGTTCAACGAAATGAGCAATTAAATGCTGGAAGAACCATACAGCTGAGGATTTCGGAAATGAAAGCAGAATATATACATATGCGGTTAGTTACTTACTGCAAGGAAAGCAGTGTCATTCCAGACAGCTCTCTCTAACAAACGCTTCGCCTTGTTACCAACAAAAATAGGGGAAGTTGGCATTGCTTCAATCAAGTTCTGATCCAGCAGGACTTTGTTGCTCCCACTAGAATCAGGATTATACCGTGATCGAGAAGATCCCTTGAGATCATAGAGCCGCGTTATGCTTCTTCCAAACAAAAGATTCTCCATAACTAGAACATCTATCCTTGATTCTTTCCCACCTTTAAAATGCTTCGAAGTAACCTTGCAAAAGGTAATGCAAATAAAGAGTCAGTTGAATTATCAAATACTGACATATAGGAAAAATTATCCTTACAACGAAGGGGCAAGATCCTAAAACATCCATGCAGCTCTTTGATGTGGAGCTATCAGCAAGCACCAGCAGTGCCCAGTAATCTTTTGGAGCAAATATAGTTTCACCATTGTGCATTAATCAATTTCAAAATAAAATCACATGATTTCTTTTGTGAACTCCACAACTTTTGGCTTTCACAACGAAAAACTAAAATAATTTTATTAGTTTATGACTGCATAAGTCTTGCACATATCTAAGGCATATCTTTTGGAAAGAAAACTGAAAAAATACATATATATTTCATACATCCTTTGTCTTCTTCATTTTGTCAAGCAATCATGTCCACATAATATACTGACCTCTATAAACTACATTTAAATTTCATAGATATATCAAAAATTGCAAAAGAATCTTGAATGGAAAACAAGAAAATATTGTTAAAGCTCTCCCACATTGGTTATAAGTAACATATTTATGTTTTTGGTCTATCAGTAAAATCTCAAAAAATAAATGGCTACCAAAAAAAACCACGTGATCTGTTTTGAAATTGGCAAACCCCCAAGGATGAATCTATAATTGTTTCTTAACCATGTTTAAAATCTAGAGATGCAACAATTAAAAAGAAGCAGCTCTAAAGAAAGGTAATTCTTCAAGCATCCTCTCTCCTTGTGCCAATAGCCATTTAGGTGCAGATAGAAGGTAGATTCATTCCCCATTAGTGAGTATTGACATTTCAGAAGTAGGATCTAGCATTTTTTTGTGCAGCTAACTGCTTAGCTGTGCGTAATTTCCTAGGCCATCAACAGCCTATCAAAACCTCAGAGTTAGCAGCAGTCTGTCTGGCAACAAAGCCTAGTGCACTTAGGAGGACAAATAAATTCTAGTGCTTAACACCTCAGTCATCTATGACAGAACTTTTTATAAACTCTGCAATGACTTGCAACAATGTATATCTATCTGTTTTACTTAAACATGATTGATGACATATCCAAAAAAAAAAATTATAATTTCAGTTTGTTTCAAAAGATTCTGAAATTCTCTAACCTAATCTTAAGGGAGCAAATCATATAATCTTTTTGGTTGCCGACCAAATATAGCAATTAATCAAACATCTAAATGAATATCTTGAAATTCACTACCTGATAAATTCCCAAAATCTTCGCCAAGCAAGTTGGACTCTTGGTGCTAATTGATTCTGATAAGTACTTGAAATATGCTGGTCCAAATTTTATAAATGACTCCAACTCTGTCTTTGTAACTTGTTTAATTATAAAGCGATCATCCAGCGTTTTTGCAAAAAATACATTGCTCTTGCCACCCTGAGCTCCCCACTTCTTACAACGGCTAAGAGATCTTAAGTAATCAAGCTCGGATTGGCAGCATATTCTCCTCAGTGCTTCAAACCGCTTTGCATAGTAACAAGTCACAGAATATTTCACCTTGCCGAGAGGACCATCATCTTCAAATGAAACTCTGGCATGAAAACCTTTTGTATATGAAAGTGGGTCAGAAATCAGCAGGCTATGAGATCCAGACATAGATAAGCTGCTCTCAGGTGTTGAGGCAAGACTTCTATAAGGATCACTGGTTGTTTCATCAGCAGAGTGGGAATTAGTCATTTGATCAGAAGCTGATAAAGCCAGAGAATCCACACCATCTTTAGGTCTTTCCCCTTCATCAGACAGTTGGAGATGATATTCAGGTGATGCTAGAGCATAAGCAATAGCACTAGTGGGCTCATCATCATAAACTGGAATAACGGTGTCGTTAACACCCAAAGTCAGAAGCAGTCTGGCTCCACCTTGCAGTTCCGACTCCCGAGACAATGAAATGTAGACTGGATAATACTCAACGAATGTACTAAGTTTCTGAGAACTTGCTAAAAAGCTCTTGTTGACCGATCGGTACCAGTTCAAAAACGGAATTCCTAACCAGCTTAAAGAGTCTTCTATATTCTCAAAGCTCTTGGTAGGCAATAAATGTGAGAACGAATGGACAACCTTGAGCCCTTTGTGGCCTTCTGAGGAGTCCTCCAGATCCAAGCCCTCTGACCCCACCAACATAGTTGAAGAATCTGCGACAGCAGAATCAGAAAATATAACACTATTATCATTTGGTATTACAGTGCCTGGGTGATTTTCACCTGTCCATGCTGCATCCAGAGTATCTGTTAAATTTTTCATTGTAGGAATGTGCCCATCGGAAAGCACTCGAGGGACATCTTTTCTACTTTTCAGAGAGTTAGATTGATAAGAGAAACTCCTGTTAGAAGAAAGTTTTGCGTGAATTTCCATTTCATGATTTGAATCTCCACTCTGTTTCACTTCTTGATGAACAATACCCTCATGGTTAATGCTTCCACCGAATTCTTCCTTACCAGGGCTGTTATAAAGCTTTGCATCCACAAGAAGAGAGTCAGAACAATTAGAGGCTTTCCTGTGGTGGGTAGCCACATTCGTTTCCAGGGGCTTCTCACTTTCAACTAGAGGTTTCTCATGTTCTGGAATTTCATTGCTGAAGCCATTCTGAGGGCTGTTTTTATCTAAACTGGCTGCATAAATCAGGCGGTGGTCCCATATATAAGATTGAAAAAGTAACTGCCTTCTCAGTCGGTTAATCTCAAGAATGTCAATAATAGGTTGGCCCTTTTTCCCCTCTGTCCTCAGAGCTTTTTGGATACTTTCCTAAAGTAATTCCAAGAAAAATCAGAAATCAGATACGAACAATGAGTGAGCAGATTTGAAATTATCACTAATTAAGTTGTTTTACTTCAGTCATTTCTTTTATGCAGTATATACTACAAGCTATATTTTAAATCTTCATATGAGATTATTTATTTTATTACCACATTACTAATTAAGAACCAAAAAAAAAAGCCATCATAGAAAGAGAATAATAAGAGGACATGTTGCAGGCTCATGGAATGGAGACAAAAGACATTAGGTCAATAATTTTACAAACTATCCCACCGTAATCATTGAATTGTTTTAACGTAAGAGAGTATTTGGCTTAGGTTGTCTGGGAAGATCCCAGATAATGTGGGTGAATAATTTGTTTTACCCATGTTTTGTTCATAGATGTGTCAGTTACATATTTACCCATCTAAGAGGTTTATCTTTGAAGGTAGGAAAGAAATTCACTCACCTGAAAGAGTGAGTATCTGAAATTACCTTCAGGAAAAGAAATTCAAGGCTAAAATATACCATAAATAACTCAGCTTTTATTTTGCATTGGTCTTTTTGATAAACTAGACACAATAGTCAAATATTTGTGGTTTCTCATAAAAATTTCTGATAATCTCAGTATATTCCCATCCACCACTGCATAGGCTCTTGGTAATCTCTTGAATTCTAGAAATATTTTTGTACCCTGAGCCAAATGGCCTTCAAGAAAGAAAATAGTTCGTGCTATTTAGAGTATTTGTTTCATCCTGATACACTGCACCTTCTACAAAGTGAATTTGTCAGTAAAACAATGACTATAAATTTCAACGTGTAAACTCACCTCAAATTCTGCCTTTTCCTTCTGCAAAATTGCTTCCAGTTCGGCAATTTGATGCCTAGATTCAGAAGATTTCACATTACTATTCGGCAACCCTTTTTCATACCCTTGCTTTGTAATTTGACTGAGGGTATTCAGGACCTCAGAAAATAGAAGCTCTGCCCGCTGTATCACCTGTGTATAACCAGATTATTAGATCCTTTGTTGCAAGAGAGGGTTAAAATGGTATTTTCAGAAACCAAAATTACTTCGGTTGTCAGACCTCATCTGATTCCTTTTGTATCCACTCCTGAATCTCATAGTTGAAATCAAGTTTTGCAGGTGGAAGATATACAGAATGAACATTAATTGTTGCATACAGAAAGCAAGCAACCATTTTGCCAAATCTGCACATTTAAAAACTGTGAGAGAGAGAGAGAGAGAGAGAGACTGAATTGACTTAATGAATGATCTTTCTCGTCTAATTAATTCTTGCTATTTGTTTGTTTGGATGTTTCTATCTGGCTTGTTGAAGAGACAAAGAAACTCATTAAATTAAATTTAGTTTCTCAGCATCAGTATCTCTCTAAGACATCCCAAAACTGAGATTAAATAATTGAGATCATCCAAACAGGATCAGTAAAAATAACTATAATGCAAAAGGATTGCCACTCAATCAAGAGGATAGATGACTGCCCTATGTTACAAAACTCTACAAAATCATAATATATTTCTAATTAATAAAAATATGAAAATAAGAGAAGAGAAAAAATTACCCATAGAAACGAAGGCAATCTCTGTGGAGAGAATGGCCACAGCTTGCCACCCTGCTAGCAGCGGCATGATTTGAAAAACTAAGCTCTAAAAACTTCCCAAATGATAGGCCCCAGGCAGCATCAGACATCACTACACGCCTTGTAGCTGGAGGGAAACTATTAATTCGCGGACAACGCAGACATCTATGCCACATCCAGATCTTTCCCTCCTTTTCACCTGGCAAGAGAATTTCTGGCAACTTCTTAACAGATATGGTGAGAGTGCCCTGTCGATGAGTGTAACAATGAACATGTGCTTCTGATGGCATCTCACAAGAACGGCATCGATAACTCTAAGAAATATTAAGCTTTTGTCATTTTCAAAATAAACTTAAAGGGTTCTGTAGAGACAAGAATGCATGAGAAAGTGAACTCACCTGATCAAATAAATGATCCCGCAAGAAACGGCCCAAAGGTTTATCAAAGCTGCCATAGTATTTGATTCGAAAGAGATGGGACCTCTCACAAACAGTTCCCTTCCACACACACCGGGATGATAAAGAAACCAAAATGCTCTGGTGGTCAGAAGGTGATGGTAGAAACTCTTCTTTTAGAGATCCTGGCTCCTTGGGATTAATATTAGAATTATGTTGCGCGGATGATACCTCTAAACCATCTGTTTGAGTTCCAATGATGGGACCTTGGTCATTTTGTGAACTATTTGTTGAAACACTTTGTCTCAAAACTGCTGGAGGTTCAAAATCATTAATGATAACAGGCAAGCCATTCCTGGCCGCAGATGTGTCTACCACCAAAGATGCTTTGAGGTTTGGAGCCATTTTATTTCTCTCCTGAAATAAGTGGTCAGGGAAAAGCCCATTGTTGATGTTAACAGCTTGGCCTAAAGTAGCGGAGAAGGTAGGGCCAGTTGAACCAACGAAACCTGTACTTGTTTGTGCCATTTGTGAGCTATAACCATTGGCTAAACAAGGCAGTGGTACAATTTCCATCTTTTGAACAGAAGAAATGCCAATAGATGATCGCAGATCTGATGTGGGGGCACTTCCAGATCTTTGTGGTTTACTGCCTTGTTGGGGTCCTGGAAATCTTTCACTGGCGGAGACATTGAAACCAGGGACTGTGGAAATGGATCTGTCAATGCTTGATGGTTTATCTGGAAGTGCAACATTGATTGGAGAATATAATGGGAGCTCTGGTAGCGTGGCTCCTTCATCTGCAAGGAAAGATGTCTCTAAAGCCAAATGATATGCTGCAAAAACTCCATACTGCACCACATGCTTCACTTTCTTCAACTCTTCCTGATTAGCACCTCTCAGTAAAATCTGAACCAAACAGAAACAGAGGAGATAAATGAACATTCTGGCACCAGGTCATTCAACAGATCCTTACGTGCCCAAACAGAGGGCATCAGGAAGGACCTCGGGTACCCATACCTATCAATTAAGCTTGGAAACTTCTCAGCCTATCAAGATGATGATGTAGAATGAGAAGAACCTAAAGTTAATATATCTTAGTATTGGGAGATATGTTTATGTATTATTAAGGTACTTAGTCTATTTAAGGACTAGCACCTACAAACTTGTTGACAATAGTCTATGGCTTCTTAGGGATAAGCTGGGTTATTGCGAGGTCGGTGAGGGAAGATATTTGGGCATAGGAGGGGATATGTAAAAAGATAAGATTTGTAAATCTTATTCCATTGACTATATTTTGGATAGTGTAGAAAGAGAGGAATAGTAAAATTTCTGAGGGGATAGAAGGTGAAATGTCTAAAATTAAGGAGAGATGATTAATATTATTTTGGTTATTTGATTTTGGGACACAACATTTACAGGTTGGAAAGTTTTGGAAATGCAATAGATATACTAGCAGATTCTAAAATATTTTGTAAATAGGTGGCAACTCCTTGGTATTGTTGATTTAATATACGAACTATACTTTTTATTATCCCAAAAAAAAGGATTAGTACCTACAAACTTATTGGTGGTATAAATATATTATTTCCTATTTAGTTATTCCTAATAGTTTTTCAATTCCTAATGCAATAGATATACTAACAAATTCGTAAATATCTTGTAAATGGGTGGTACTCTCCTGGTGTCATTGATTTAGTATACATGGTATACTTTTTATTTCAAATAAAAAAAAGACGAGTACCTACAAACTTATAAGTGGTATAAATTTATTATTTCCTATTTAGTTTTTCAATTAATTAGCTTATTTTCCTATTTGATATGATAGCTAGATAGATCTAAAAAATTCTTATTTTGATTGTGTTCTAGCATCTCTAAATAGGATTCCCTAATTTAGTTATTTAGTATACTACTCTTACGGTTATTACATAATTATTGAGTTAATGATTTGTTTATTGAGATATGAGATCTCTTAATAAATTTTTTCTAAGTATTATGCTCAAGCTCTGTTAGTCCTACATTAGATGAATTCCAATGTTATATAAGATAAAATCAAGAAACTTATTATTAATAGCCACTTGTCACTATCCATTTTGAGTTTTCATTACTTACAGTACAACCCAATGGCTTTGGGCAGCCTTCAAAATACATCAGCGTTTTCACTAACTTCTTCCCACCCTGATCAGCAGTACCAAGATCTTCAACGAACCTCTCTACATGAAAGTTCTCACAGTAACCAAGCTTTGGGGAAGCAAGATGATCAACTGAAGGGACTATTTGAGCACCAGTGCAGCGAGCTATCCGTTCCAAAAGTGGCCTTTTAATATTGAGAACAAGGGATATGTCTTTAGCAAGAAGGTACTCCTGTGCAAATCGAGAAACTGATTTCTCTACTAGAAGGATGTTAGGATGGTGGGCGTCTATCTTTGCCACTGCCATCTTCAAATGATCCATTTCCTAGACAAGGAAATAAAACTCATAAGAACAAAGAAAAAAATATCTCTGTTCACGCATGTGGAAGGAAACAAGTAAATGATGGAAGTAAATACATGGTAAGTAAATATGTAATAAGTAAACAAACACAACCTGCTGCAACAGAGTATCAAAACTTGATAATAGGTTAGAAACACGCTGGTATTCAAGAGCCCCACCAAGGATCAGCAACCGAGGTTTCTCTCTTTTTGATGTCATCCGTCGATGAGCCACATTTTTCTTGCAAACAACTCCTTTCACCACCATGCTAGAGGTAAAGCAACCACAACCGTAATTAGAAAACTAAAACCTAAAAGGATAGTAAAAGATGAGTCACATAAGTCATGGACTCCATCAGAATACAATTCACCATAGCAAATACATCTCTTCCAGTAGTATAAGTAATTTAACAGAGATTAACCCATCCTTAGAGTACATATGCTTTCAGAATTTACATATTTAGTGACATAACATCCCACAAAAACATGACAACAGCACAGATTTTAGAGTTGAACTAGAGTTTTCACTCTAATTGGCAGGTCAAGCTCCCACACCATTCTCCTTGAGCATTTGAGATAGTTAGTTAAATATCAAGCTCTAATTTCCGATGGTTATCCAGTTACCGTTTTTATTATGAGTAGTGTTATGTTTTTGCTGGTAGTCACTGTAAATTTAGCACAAAGTTTTCAGATTCTTCCAGAGTCTCGAAAAAATTAAATCAGTAACATAGTTCAACATACTAAATACTAGGAACTTCTATTGAGATTCATATGCTAAGATCACCTTTTATAGTCAACTGGTGCAAAACTCCATCTTATTCAATAATATTATTGTCTGGACCAGTACTAAATCATGATTACTAGCTGAGAAATCCATTAAAAGTACAAATATGTGGAACAAAATGCTAGTATGATGAAGTCACATATTTTGTGGCATTTACCTGTCTCTGCGATTTCCAGAAGCTACGCACTTTACTTTAACATATCCACCAGGGTCCATCCCCCCACCTTGGCTTGTATCAGGCTTTAATAGATTTGCAGCCTCCCATGAGAGAGATGTGATGATATCCAACCAGCTCTCTTCATTTTGGTCACCTACTGGAAGGTTTTCAACCTGTAATAATTGCGCTACCAAGGCCCTAAAATGGCCATCAACCACATTCTTCATTGCTTTCTTGTGCTCCTCGCCTGATCTATCCTTATTACGGTACTCCCCACTTCCAAAACTACTGGATGTTCGTAGATATCCCCATTCTCCTGCAGCATCTCCATTGTCGTCATCATCATCATCATCAAATAGGGTGGCTTCTCTTTCATCTTCTTCATCTTCCGGTTCAGGAGGAAGCCAGAGAAGCCCATTATTCTCGAAATCCACAGGCTCAGCATCTACATCTTCAGATACTTCACATTCATCACTAATATCGTTCTCATCTTTCTTCCCTGTTTGTGAGATCCCTTCCAAACTCAATGAATCAAAACCATCCCTTAACAATGGAGAACTGCTTAAACTTTTTTGTTCAATAGTTCCTACACCAGGATGCAACTTATGTGATCCATAACTACCCCTCATCTCATCAAATTCAGCCTGACTGTAGAAGCCATTGACTTGAGAAGAATGCCTAGTCCCAGAATCAGTCCGGTATACACCATAATCATCCTCTTCACAGTCATTCCTAATGATAAAGAAAAAGCAGGCAATTAACAGCCATTGATGGTAAGTAAACTACAAATTCTTTTTTCCAATGTTGGGGGAAAAGACCAATAAACATATCTAACTTATATCAATACTAACTTTGATTTCACCAACGAAAGTAATTATAGCTTTGAAAATCATCTAACATGCACATATTTAAATATTTAGGGAACAACCCTTCCAATTTCTGATACAAATGTAGAGCTTCAATATTGCTAAGATGCGTTTATGACCCATTAGTTGGTTGTTTTAAGGGGGTCCTCATGAAATATCACAAAAACATCTGAAACAGAAGAAGCACATAGAGAAAATTATGATACCTCTTTGGTGTAAATGGGCAAGGATCTCCCATTTCGGGAATAAAATCATCACTCCTTGTTGCTAATTTGCTTTCCCCATAGGTGCTTGTTTCCTCCGTTATATCCGATGACTGGTTCACACTAATACCAGAACTACATTGAACGCGTTGGTAAGGTAGAGTTAGGTGTGGCATGGAGGCAATAGTGACGGAACCGCTGTTACCAGTCCCACTAGATTTTCCACTGGCAATACTAATATCTGAAGGTGAAGAACTAAGATCCAGATGGGAGACATTGATGCCATTGTCAAGCGTTGTAGTCCCCCGCTCCCATTGCTTAAAACAATAATTACAAACACGAATCCTTTCCCAATCTTCTTGAGGAGTTCTAGAGTCAGCCAAAGAGACAGGAATTGAATTTGCTGTACACTTGCCACAGAAAACTCGGCCACAAAGTCTACAATGGTGTCGGCGGTTAAATACTGTAAACTGGGTATCACACTCGTAGCATACTCTACAGCTCTGATCAGGCATCCAAAAATCCCTGGACACTTTAGCTGGCTCAGATCGCCAAGCGATCCAGGATTTCAGCAACTCATATAACTCGGAAAATACTTTATTATCCCGGTCATCCATCTACGAACAGTCCTACCTCCCCACTCATTATGCTATGCTCATTTGACAATTCACACCCTCCTAATTAACCATGTCTAAGGCAGCAACCATAAAAATTCAAACCCAGATTACAATTCAAAACATCTTCAATCCTGACAATAAGTACCTGAAATTCTCTTTGAATCCTTTGGGCAATCATACACAATCAGCACTGATTGACAGCACTCGGCTGCTGCTAATTGTTCATCGCGGGACACAGTACCAATCAATTAGACTGAATTTGAATCTCTCTAATTCTCATATAATCAAAACAAAGGGAAAATCAAAACCACAGCAACCAGAAAGTGGTTTTTATCCGTAAATCACCAAGAGAGAACTCGAGCCAAGTCGAAACAAACAACTTCACGGAATTTAAAGTAGCTAGAAGCTGGAAATCATAAAAACCACCTCAACCACTAGAAGACGAGATCAAAACACGCTCCTGTGCATGACCCAACTCAGACCCATCTGTCTTGAGATCACTTCCACGCGTAAATTAAACGAGGGACTCGCCTCGATATTCTATAATCTCAATTTAACGGATTAGAAACGTAATACATCTATAACTTTATAACTCTTCCTTTCCTTCTCAAATTCAATCCTTATCTAACGGCAACAAGCTAATAAAAAAGATAACAAAATGAACATGCGTGGTATATTTCGTCCAGTGGGGGTGGGGGGGGGAGAAGGGGAATGATTTTACCTGGAAAAAGCAATAAACATAATCACAATCAAGATCTTCTCCAAAGAAAGACAAAAAGAGGAGAACCCCCAAGGGATTCGCGCCACGTATGCAATGAAAACCGTGATTCAGGGTAGGTGTAGAAACTGAGGAAAGCCCGCCTACCCAGCAAGCAAGTCTCCTTTTTTTAGTCGATTCAAATGTTTTAATTTTTCACCCAAATAAACAAGAACAGGAAGAAGATGGAGAAGAAGATGAAATTAAGAAGAGGGAAATTTGTTCATTCATTTGTGGTTCCCGTTTTCAAAAACTGCAATAAATTTCTTTGGATATGGGTTGTGTTCCATATCATGAATTTGCAAAAAAAAAAAAAAAAAAAAATCACCTGAAAGTTTGTTTATCTTGAGAAAAAAATGATCAGATAAGCTTTCCACATATCAAATGCGAAAGTCAAATTTTCCCAAAATAATATCTTATAACAATAATAATTACTATTAATTATTATTATTCTCTGGAAATTATTGACTGTAAATATGTTAATCCTCTCTTTCAATTCACAGGCGAAGAAAGCGACTTTGATGACTCGGCTCTTGGCTTATGCACGAGGGTTAAGTGAACGCCTGACTAATTATATATAGTTCATGAGCATGCATAGCAAATAAGAAATTAAAAAATATAAAAGTGAAAGTTAATTGACAAAAATGCCCTCAATGACAAAGACAGGATCCGGGCAGGAGACAACTGTATGGGTACATTTGCTCTTTTGGTTTTGGTTGGTCAAATCATTAGATGTACCTCCGCCAAGTCAACAACACGCGTCTTCCGTTTTCTTGACAGCGACGCTTGAGCCACTGCCCGGCTTATTTTCCGGCCAAGCAAACGGACAAATCTATTTAAATTTAAATCGTAGCATAATATTTTTTTTTTTATCTAATCACATTCTTTATTTTCTAAGTTCAAATATAAATTGATCGATCACATTCTTTATTAAAATATTAATTCTTATGCGTTGGTATTTTTTTCTTTTAAAGATATCAAAATTTTACTAAGTATTATCATAATTCCCAGATATTAATTTTTTATTTCGATTAAATTAAATATTACTAACAAAATTAATGTTTCTTTAATCTAAATAGGATTAGGAGATAAAATACAAATTGATCAATATACTCTCACAAATATACTAATAGATTAACTCTCTTTTTTTTTTTTTTGTGTGGCTAAATTAAGTATTATGGGTAAGAAGGCTATGTTATATGATATTATATGATTATTACATTAATTAAGTTTAACCTATTTATTTTCAATAATTAGTAATAAAAAATCTGGTTTTTTTTTTTTGAAAGGAACCTTTTTACGAAAAAGAAATAAATAAAGAGGAGGAACTAGTTTGGATGTATATATAAATCTGACACAGACTATATATATATATATATATAAACTATGGTTTACAACTGTGTAACCGGGGGGTTGAACTGAAGGAGGCATGTTGCACGTAATACAAATAATTTATTCAGCCAGCTAACCCTGAGTGAGTGAGTGAGTGGCTGATAACTTAATCCTGCATGCTTTGAAGAAAGTCCTAAAGAGGGCTTTTTATATATTTGCCGCTAGTTTTAGTTCAAGTTTAAATACAAGCTGATTGTTCCCCACTTTTGGTAAAATCCAAACCAATTAATATATATTATATATATATGGTGGCATAAGGATAATATCTCATATTCAATAAATAACAAGCTAAATTTAAAACGTCAAGTAAGTTTGGGATTGGATATGATTGAAGTACGTTGGTTGCTAGGATTTATGTGCTGGAGCTAATTGATTACAATTAATACTACAAATTGTACTTGTTAGTATAGTGATTAAGATTATTACCTTCTATTTAAAGATTACGGATCCAAACTTCATTCAGAATATAAATTTTATTATTTAGTAAGTATATTATATGTTAACAGTAATCGATCTAATATATTATAATTAAATTGAGTTAAATCTAAATAAATCTATTATGTTTTTTTAAAAAATAGTATGTAATTATTAATTTTTTTTTAATTGAGATAGTCACGTCAGATTAAAAATTTTATATTTTTTTCAACAAAAGAAAAGTAAAAAATTATATATATTTACATATATAATAGATATATTAATCATTAATACTGCTGATTGCATAAGTATAAACTACTGTTTAACTATCTTAATATTGTTGATCTCATCAAAATGGCAAAGCTCCGTGGTATGACAGCCTCAAATTGGTTTGGGAGAGTGATGTTCGAAGATTGATTTATAACGCTAATTCTCTTATAATTCAACAACCCTTTCCGTAGTCAAGATGCAACTAAGTTTCATCTAATTCAGAAGATTATAATAATAATTTTTCTCACTTTAAAGGAAAAATTTATTCAAGATATTTTCTCTTCTAATATTTAGCTAAAGACATTCTCTTAATGGAACAATTGCAACCGGATTTTTCATAATTAAAATGAAGAATTGTAACAACTCAAACTTCAATGTCGGTGGGTACAGACATTTGCACACTATTTTTAATCAATAGAACTAATGAATATCACATATATAGTGATACTATGTATTAATATGCATTTTTTGTAACAGAATAATTATTTTTTCATAAACACATTGCTCATCTAAATTAATTACAATTCTAAAATAAAAACTAATAAGATTTTCTTATTTTCTTCTGTTGATCCTGAACTTATTTATCATCTTTTCTAATGTGAAATGGGGGTGAATTGAGGTTCAGAATGTTACAAGTGGTATCAGAGCTAAGTTCTTCGAACCCATCCCCTTGTACATGAGGTATAAGAACTTCAAGAGGTCTAGAACCCATAAAACTTTGGAGAATGACCACTAAAAAATGTTTTGGATTTCATATGAAACATTTGTCAAAATAGAAGTAGGAGAACGATATTTTACAACCATAATGATAGGAACCACATATGTTACTTTATGGCAAACTTAGAACTCAACGAATTAGGAGTTCACCCTGAAGTTAATGGATGACGATATATAACCAACCACCATCATTGAACTCCACAGGTGTTAAGGAACATCATCAGAGTTTTAATTTTTTACTGACTTATTGACCTCGTAACGCCAAATGATTTTGACAAAATTCTTAAAAAAAGACATTTAATTTGTCCATGTGGAAGAAAACTCCCTAGCATGGACAAAATCCCCTAAGTGATTCACCAAATAAAAGAAGAATCTTTCAGTGGGAGCCAATGTCCCAACTAGAAGGAAAATCCCCTATGTGGGATAAGATTTTCCCCATCTGAGTGGAAATCCTCAAAGTGGCACCAAATATCCCTCAAATTGGAGTTTCCTAAGTAACAAAAATCCCTTAAAATAAAGAAAATTCCTAGTGTGAGAAATTTCCCCACGTAGGAGGAAGATCTCATAGTAGAGAATTCCCAATGAGAAAAAACCCCCACGTGGGAGCAAATTTCTAAGAAGAGAGATTTCTCCAAAAGGGTAAATTCCCCATCAGGATAAATTTCTGAACTAAAGCAATGTTTCCTAAATATGAAAAATTTTCCCATGCAAAAAGATGATCCATTAAAATTCATTAACACGTACAATTTGAAGGACCAAATTGTTTTTTTTTTTTTTTTTGGGGTGGGTGGGGGGGGGGGAGGGGGGAGAAGGAGATTATAATACCCAAACAATATATATGAGTATATATATAATTTTAAAAAAAGCCGAGCTAGTATGAGCTGGCATAAAAAGACCTAGTTGGTACCCAAGAGGAAAAAAGGTATATATATATTTAATTAAATGAAATAAAAAAAGAAAATAAAGAAAAAATGAAGAACACGCCTCTAGGAGCAAAATGTGGTCCAGTTGGCATATATATATGTAGATATATAATCAAGTAAATAAAAAGAAGAAAAAAAGAAGAGAAAGAAGAGAGAAGCTGAGAAGAAAAAGGTGAAGATCGAGCAACAACTAGAAAGAAGAGAGAGGGCAGGTCGAGCGATGTTAATGACCAAGAGAGGAGACTCGCATGGTGTTGCGTGACACGAAGACCGCACAAAGGGAAAATATAGAGGGAAGAAGATGCGACAGAAGAGGAAGTGAGAGAGATAGAAGACTGTCATAAGGAGAAAAAAAAGGAAGAAAAAGAAGAAGAAAAGAAAAAAAAAAGAATAAGAATAAGAAAAAAAAGGAAAAGGTTATGGACAATGAAGAAAAAGAAGAAAAAAAAAGAAAAAAAAAAAGAGAAATTAAAATAATTTTTTTTTAAAAAAAAGGAAGAAGAAAGAAGTACAATGCAACCAGATCCGATGTTGGTGCATCACACATGGTGGTTCTGTTCAGTGAGAACCTATGACGTGTAGTGGTGTCAGTAGTGGTGTGTTCGGTAGCGCAACCATTTTTGGTGGCACAAGGCGAGTGGTGGAAGCGTGCTGCTTATGGTAGTAACGTAGACGACAACATGTGGTATTTCTAGTGGTGTTGTGTGGTGCCTCCAACGAGCAAAAATTGCATGTCAAAGGTAAAATTAATTTACCCTTTCATTTTATATTATTTTGAAACTATTATTCGATTAATACATGTGTATGTTATCTATGAATGAGAGAAACATTCAAGGGATAATTGAGATTAGAAGAAAATCATATATCGAATTAGAAATGATTCTCATAACTTTTATGATCACACCATAGGTAAGAATTAGGTTAATTATGCACGGAGAAATAGTATTATATGTATAAATTATAAATGATTTACGTAATTATATATATGTATAAATTGTGTGTGTGTGTTTTGTATAAGTAAACGTACATAGTGTATGTGTGCGCATTAGGTATGAATTGATAAGAACATAACTAATAATGACAAATGCGTGAATAACTATATATGATATGTTGTGTGTATTATATATATGTGTTTAAGTATAGGTGTGTGTGCATGTATCGATAGAGATTGTGTATATGAATATAAATATATACATTGTATGAGACATGTAGTGATAGTATATGTATGTATTATAATATATGTGTGTGTATTAATATGCATCTACACATGTTCTACGTGTGAATATGTAATCTGTGTATATGTAATAACATATGTATTTGTGTTTAGTTGCATGTAGAAACTAAGATCTTAAGTATTGGATAAATGAATTATAACAATAACGAAATAAAAATATAAAATAAGAGTGGCTGTATTTGAGAAAATAAATGAGTGAAATTAGTATAGAAAAATAAATGGATTAATTATAATTATTAAATGAATTAAGAAAGATTTATTTAAAATAAAGAATATACTAAAAAAAATTCGATAAGAAATTTGGAAAAGTAGTGGATATGAGTGAAGAGTGTATGAACCTTAGATACCTTACTCGTTTAGTCTGAATCGAGGAAGGGAGGGTGCATGTGTGGCTGAAGTTCAGCGGGTGTGGTAAACTTGGATATAAATAACTTTGTGAAATCTACTCCAAACATAGATAGATATTTGTGAGTGTGTAGGTCACCTAACAAACGTATTTGTTGTGCCAATATAAGATCTTGTGTGTGTGATATCTATGCGATAGAGAGATCCTTTTTGCCTCTCCTTATTGATGATATAAATGGTATTACGCAGTGAAATTTTAGATGTGACATTCCAAGTGTAGATACGTCATCTTGAGTATATTTATAATATTTTTAGTATATATGTAATATTTCGAGTGTATTCGTGATATTTCAAATTTATAAGTGATATTTGAGCGTATAAACAACATTCGAGTTCAGTGATATGAGTGGGTGAGAAATCCGAATTGAACCTAAGTTGATGTGTGTGAGCAAATCCGTTTTATTCTGAGAATAATGTGAGTCCATGTGTATGTGTGTACAAATTTTGTATATGTAAGACATGTAAAAGAAACATGTGATAAACAAGAGATGAAACAAATAGTATATGTAAATAGAAAAAAAAGAAAGAGTTAGATCGAAAGAGAAAGGATTGAAATATGTTTCGCATGTTATTTATTATGTTGTGTATTTTAATGATGATGTGTTGTCTTATAATTTCTTGATTATAAATATTATTATATTTTATACATTGCGTGAATATATGTACATAAGTTTTCGTTATATGATATGTTTTCTTACTAAGTTAGTGAAACTCAATATTGGATTCACCCCTATTTTAGATCACATAAGACAAGAAACAAATCCAAGATCCAAAAAAGATTGTGAAGAAAAACTTAGTAGTTTCTATTTTAGATTTGCAAATTAATTTAGATATCTCATATATATGCAAACAAATGATTATTCCGTTACAAAGAATAGGTATTAATATATAGTTTCACTGCACATATAATACTTATTGGTTCTACTAATTAGAAATATTGTGCAAATATTTACTTATCCCTTGCGTAAATTTAGATATTTTTTTTCTATAATCAATAAGTAATAACAATTTTCTTAATGATAAATTACCTTTTTATTCCCTTGTCAAATTTTTTTGTCATTCCACATGCACCTTTTCAATTTTATTGAGTTTTGCTTCTTAAACAAAACATGCCCTCGGTTTTCATTATTCCATTCTATGCATATAAGAAATGGGACTTAAAAATATAAAAATTATAAGTAATTTTGAATAATCTTAATCAACTTCTAAATTAAACTTGTTAAATTTTAATATTTTAAGTAAGTTGATAAGAATTTATATGTAACTGAATGATTAATACTTTTGCTTCTTTTTATGATAGTATATTTTTTTCGAGTTATGTTATTTGTCTCGTATGTCCTGAGTAATAAATTATATTATTACCATTTATTGTATTATATATGTGTGTATATATATATAAGCTAAAAAGCTTGTTTATTTTTTCTTATGATATGTTGATTGTTACACAAGTTCTAACTAAGAAATCTTTCAAATTAGATGAAATCTCTCGGTGCCTAAGCTTTACTGTATTTGATTCCAAATGTTGCAAACTTCTATTTCTTATTTTAAAGAAAGTTAAGAAATTAATACTTAAATTTTTTATAATCATACTAATTACTTTTTAATCGATTGATTGATACATTTTTTCTTTTATAGAAGATAAAAAATTTGAATCAATACATGATCTTATATATTATTATCTAAAAATTAATTTTATTATGTTGTAATGATTATAGTACGTATACTATTAGTTAATAAATATTTAAATATAGTTAAAAAAAAAACTTTTCATAACTATTTTTATATTGATTCAATTCATATTAATAGTAAATATATACATAATACACATAAAAAGTTTGAAAGATGCATTTGACGAAGTAGTTAACCAAATAGATGTATTGATCTAGTTGAGTATAAATGGATAATTGTGAAGTTTAAGTCAAGGGTGAATTTTGATATGTATGAATGAATAATTTTTATAGATCAAATAATTAAAACAGATAAACTAAAACGTTGTCGTTTTTATTCAACATAACGCACCCAAACTTCATGTTAATCCCTTGATTTGCCCCATAAACCTAACTCTGTAGTTTATGTTTGCCCGACGCACCCAACAGAATCTCCCAAGCCACTGCCGGCAAATTCGCTTGCCCTCACTTTCTCACTTAAAATTTTCGCGAGAAAGTGACGGAAACTTTAAAACAAGCGGAATATAGCATGTGGTGGAGATCGGCTTCATTCATTCTCGACCAGAGAGAAAACGACGCCGCTAATCAGGCAAACTCCTCCTGCGTCAATCTTTCATCCGCTCCTCCTCTCTCTTCCTCCAATATGGCGGATTCTCTCCAGAACCCTAACCCTAACCCTAGCCCTAACCCTAACCCCATTTCCGCATACTACCAGACCCGGGCGGCCCACCACGGGGTGGTGACCAGCGACTGGCTGGCCCAGGCCCAGGCTGCTGTCGGCCATCATCCCGACCAGGAACCTCCAATCTCTCCTGTACCTGAAGTCACCATTAGCTCCGGCAAGCACTTTAGTGTGATTGAGGAATTCAATAACTGGAGGAAGCAGCCGGATTTGGCTGAGGCCGTCGCGGCGATTCGCGCGCTAGCATCCGTTATCAGAGCCAGTGGAGCCACCACCATGATGGAGCTCGAAATTGAGCTCAAGAAAGCTTCCGATTCACTTAAAGTGAGTTCTATCACCCGAACAGCCCACACCCATATACGTGTTTGTATGAATATGTGTACACGAACGTATTTATTTTCCAGCTTCCTAAAGTTTCTTGTCGGTTAAATTTGGGAAAATGATAGAATTTATTTATACTCGAATTTTTAGTTGAGTGGAGGGGAGAGGGGTTCGTTGGGTTATAAAGAGATGCAGGGATTTGGATAGGACACAGTATGTCGATTGGACACTGATGGGGATCATCTCAGGATGAGCTTCTCTTTTGGGAAGGCCATTTATGCTTCTAATGGGTTAGATATTCTCAGTTATTAGCTTTCGTTTTGTTTCATGGAAATTGGCTTCTAATGGGTTAGCATTAGTTGTAGAGTCAGAGTTTCTAAAGTCCTCCTTAAGTTGATTAGGAGAAAATTGAAATTGAAAGGAAGACAACTTATCTAGAATGTGATGTTTTTTTGACATTACGTAGAAGTTTTAAGTTATGGATTGACTTCTGCTATTCTCTGGTATGTAGTTTGTGATTATTTTTTGGAATAAGAGGTATGCACATAGCATTAAGAGGCACGAAATAGGTACCACCCATATGCAAAGGATTTATTAAAGATCAGAAACCAAAATGTCTACACGGTTTCAGAAATATTAAACAGCTAGGATAAGGTGCACTGCAGAAAAAATACTTCATGTTGGAAACCAATAATTTGGTAAAAGGAGGCAAGTGGCCCCAAGAGACTCACTTGTTTTTTTCTCTCCAAATGACCCAAAAGAAATACATAAGAATGACATAATGAGTTTCTTTCCTAATTTACATGTTCTAATATCCAACCAATTCCTAGACCATCTTCTAACCAATTCTGAAGTAGAACAAGACAAATTAAGAAGGACACAACCTTCTAGTCTCTGAACATCATAGAAGGAGATGGTCTGGAGATTCATATTCGTGAAATCACAAAGGGCTGCTTATGAATTACTTTGGAGTTTTGGCCACTGGAGGCTAACAATCTTGTATAAAAATCGTATGCATAATCGAGAATTGAACTTTTACGAAGAATAAATGTCTCCATTAGCAATTGGAGTCCATGAGAATCAGGTTTCTTTTGTTTTCTCTGTAAGAAGGATTCTTGATTGTGTTTTTTGGTATGCGTATCTCCTATAGACATTCTGTAAACTTCAAACAAAAAAGTTATATAGTTGAAGTGTGTAGTGTGTACGTGGAGAACAATAAATGTGAAAGCAGATTTATCAATTCTGTTGGCTCTGTTCAGGCTGGGTCCTTTTTCTTTTTAATTTCTATTAAGTCAACTGAATTAAAACCCATTTCAATTATATCCATAATTTAGTTAAATAATTATGTGATGGTTTTACATCTTTCTTTTCAACAATAAGATCGGTCAGTTTCTCCACTGATACTAATGGGTGTTTTAAGAAAAGATGGTACGTGAAAACATTATTGAAACATTATTTATATGTAGTTTCTCCTGAAAGTGTCACAAGGCTTATTGAAATGGTTGCATTTGAATTTCTGAAAGATTTTTATTTCAAAAAATAATTTCTGAAAGATTTAATGATTTAGGGCCTTCTTATTCATTTTCATGTTTATAGTTGGCAATCCTGATGCCCTGCTAAAATTGGAATATGTATAAAGGTTTTATATGGACTTCTGAGGATAAATCATTGAGAATTTAATTTTCCGTGAAGGTGACTTGTATTATCCCCTGGTTTTTTCTTGGTGATGAATAAGTGCACGAGATCGATTTCAAAAATTAGACTTATTGTGTAACTTCATTTGTTGTTCATGTGGCATTTCATATAATATTGAATTTTGTACATATTTTTGTATCATGGAAACTGTAAGTTGATGGATAGAAGTTTTGGAGATTATTCTCAGTGACGAATTAAGATGTAGATGCTAACTGAAATTAGATTGATTAATTCTGCTGAAATTCAAATTTTAATGAATTTAAGCTCTCAAAAAAACGTTCTCTTCAAAGGAAATTATTGTAGGTGACATACTGTCACTTAGTTTTAATTTTATGTTAGTCTTAACATGGACAATTACACATAATTTTTGTGTTTCAGTTGTTAGAACCCCATCTTGATTCTTTTTTTAATGGTGGAAATTCAATTCTATGTTTCAAGGTGAGAATTAAATTTTCCACCATCCAAGGATTTAAGATATAGATGGTGGTAGCTCAAACACAGCAAATTATGTATTGATTATGGGTGCGAAGCCTGATATGAAAATTATAATTGAGTAGGAATTGAATGGAAAATGAAGTGCATCGTATTGGTAACTTGCCAACTGCCCATACTTCAATAACAGAAACTTTGCTGTAAATATTCCATTTGAATTTCGTGTTTAAAAAGAGAAGTTGCTGGGTTAGGTTATTAATTGCAAAAATAACAAAAATATAATTTCAAGCTTCCGTTGTAATGATTGCAGTCTGTATTCTTTGCAGTCATGGGACACAACATCTATCTCTTTAACAGCTGGCTGTGATCTGTTTATGCGATATGTAACCAGGACATCTGCCTTAGAATATGAGGATTTTAATTCAGCCAAATCTCGCCTGATTGAACGTGCAGAAAAGTTTGGTGAGATATCCTGTAAGGTAGGTATTTTAGCCTTTTTTTTGGCTCTATTAGCAGTTACTTTCTTGTTATGGCACTTGGGAGTAACTTTTGGGCAAACATTCACATTGATGAAGATGTGGAAGCATATTGCAGGCACGCAGGATAATTGCCATGGTTAGTCAAGATTTTATCTTTGATGGCTGTACTATATTAGTACATGGTTTCTCACGAGTAGTTTTGGAGGTACTGAAGACAGCAGCCCAAAATAAAAAATTCTTTCGAGTTTTCTGCACAGGTTCTGTCCCTGAATAGCCTTTCATCTCCAGTTGATTATGATACTTGATTAAATTAAAGAAAAAGAAAAGTCTTGTATCTGGTGCTTTGGGATTATAGATAGGGTGGTTTTGGAAAATGCAGAGGGAAGGCCAGATAGGACAGGACTACGATTATCCAATGAGCTAGCGAAACTCGATGTTCGTGTGAAACTTCTAATAGATTCTGCTGTGGCATACTCGATGGATGAGGTAGACATGGTATTTGTTGGAGCAGACGGAGTTGTTGAAAGTGGAGGCATCATTAACATGATGGGAACGTATCAGATTGCGCTAGTGGCACATAGCATGAATAAGCCTGTGTATGTGGCCGCAGAAAGTTATAAGGTATTGTTCCAATCTCGATTCCATGTAAAATCCTTTAGAGGAAATGCATAACGATGATATTATATGTTGCATTCAATTGAATAAACCTGGTAAGAGTCGTGTTATTTGATTGGGATTTTTGTACTTTTGTTTTCAGTTTGCTCGGCTGTATCCATTGGATCAGAAGGACATGGAGCCTGCCTCACGCCCAATTGATTTTGGGGTACCAATCCCTTCCAAGGTTGAGGTTGAAACATCTGCTCGGGATTATACACCGCCACAGTATCTTACGTTACTTTTTACGGATCTAGGCGTCCTATCGCCATCTGTAGTCAGTGATGAGTTAATTCAGCTATATCTATAGTAACCATCAAACCCACTCTCTTTCCTCTTTTTTTTTTGGGGAATAGAATCTTTTGAATGAACTAACTCGGGTGTTTGATCAATTTTGGATGCTGTCCCATGTGGCATATTTCTGTTTCATTACTGCTAGTAACATATACTAAAGGCTATATATGGGTAAAAGTTTATTTAAACTAATGAAATTTTGATTTACTAGACAATTTCAAAATTGAACTGTATCAATTTTATGAGAATTATAATGATTTAGGATGTGGGTTTTAACCTGTATCAATTTTATGAGAATTACTATCTTGTGAATGTAAATTCAATGTTTATTTACCATTTATATTAAAGTGGTATCTGATTGATTTAGATTTAGATTTAGATTTAGATGTAGATGTTTTTAATTTAAGATATTATTATTATTAATTTTATAATAAAATTAATGGAATATAATTTTCATTTGATTCTGAGACTTCCAAAACAGGGCTTTGGAAATTGACCCATAACCCTTGCAGCCATCAAGTCATGAGAGCATCAAATCTCAGTCAACTTAATTAATAATTTTTATGATCAAATTTTTGTGGGTATCAAATTCTTTAAGATATTAATTACCTCTTTGAAAACATAAAATTAAAAATTACTCCCCATGCTAATCCCAATTAGAGTATGCAAAATTATATACATACACACCAGAATACTCCAAACATATTTTTATGAAAAAAAATCAATCCCAAAAGAACATATCACAATTAGTTACTATTAAATTTATTAATTTTGGTAACCATTGAACGTAATAAAGAAAGAAGAACCCAAACAGTGACTGTTTATAATACATCAAAGCTATCTTTTTTCTTTTCAAAAAAGAATTAGATTTTGAATTATGAGACTTTTTTGGAAGTATCCCGTGAGTTCTTGGAGAGAAACTTTTCTCTTAAATCTGCAACATCAACTTCATTGAAGTGACTCTCAGGAATCCAGTTGCCCGTCTTTGGATCTCTCATCCAGAAATATTTCTTTGACTCATCGGCTGCCGCTGTCTCACCGGAAACTTCACCGGTCGTCTTCTTCATCATCGATGCCACCGGCTGTGCCATTCTTGCATTAATCTCAGCCGCAGCCGAGTATGATCGCCTGTTAACCATCCAAACCATCACAAAGATTTTAACAAGAAACCTTGAAAAGAATGTAAACAACAACAGCAAGAAGCATTCATATATACTAGAAGTATATATATATATATAAAGATAGATATGTGTAATTGACGAACGTGCATGTGCATGAAAGATCAACTACTCACCTTAAGAGAAGGCCAAAGTTGCTAACCAGAATCTTAGCCGCCATGTTTGGAGATTTTAAAACATGGGAAAAATAAACAGAGAGAGAGAGAGAGAGAGAGAGAGAGAGAGAGAGAGAGAGAGAGAGAGATGGAGACGAAAAGAGATTTGTAGGGGTTTGAGACGAAGAGATTTGTAGGGTTTTGAGAGCGTTATGTTATGAGGAGTTTGTGAGGGAGTAGACGTTATATTTATAGGAGCACAAAATATAAGGGTTTTTTTTTTATAAAAAAAATATATTAAAAATATAGGATAATAATTTATTAATGCCTCGAAAATTCTTCCAGTTTCCTGTTCTGTTTTAGGAAACCCAATCCGACTCCCAGTCGTCTCCGAAGTCAATTAGGTTTCCCGAATAATACCCTTGCTTCATTAACTCTTGTGGTTGAGGCATATTTGGAAAACCAATATATATATATATATGTATGTATATTTGGAAAAAAAAAAAATATATATATATATATATATATATATATACTGTTAAGTTTTAAATTTACTATGCCAATAAATTATTATGTATAAAAGATAATAAAAATTAATGTGGCATGATTAAAAATGATCAGATAGTATATTAAATCTTAATATATTAAATTAAAATACAAATTTTATTTTTATGTGTAAAAATTAAATTTTTAATTTTTAATTTTATAATTATTAAATTAAAAATAAAAAAAATTATCAAATAGATTTGTTTATAATATACAATTTCCATATACACATTACACGTAAAATGTTCTATTCTAATATCTTATTATTAGAAATAGAGAAAAAAGAATTTTAAAAAATAATGTGCTAATTTAAAAAATATAGTGCAAGATACGTATTATTTTGAAGTATATATAAAATATATATATATATGCACAATGAGAGCATCTTTGACGTCTATTAAATGACGATCATCACCAAGTTGTTTTGCAGAGGAGGCATTTAGAATCCAGAATCAGAGCGATTTACGTCAGATTTGATATCTCGTCTTTTTGCTTATGGGGCTATTAATGGAGTTCTCTGTAAGGCCAAATCTTTCTGTGCAAAGTTGGAACCTGATGGTCGATCGAGACTGGTGTCGTCATAGAATATATGTAACTGTGTATATATATATATATATTCTTTTTTTTTTTTAATGAGTTGGGTAAGCTTTAGATTTAATTGTTATAATATTTTTCTATTGAATAATGGAATAAAATTATTCTCAAAGCTGGTGGGATTAGACAGATGACGTTAATATTAAACTTTGATTAGTATGTTAATTATTATTTAGAATAAATTAATCACTTCTCACAATTTAATCCTTTTTAGGTTTTATATTTGTGTTAAGTGTTTAGTTTTCTTCTATTTTTTATTAGAAAAAACTTCAAAATAATTAGACTATTTGTAGAAATTTTAAAAATAATTTTGACTTATTAATTAAATTAATAATAAAAATATATCTAATATTAATTTAAATACTTAAATCAAATTCATTTTTTGAACTCTTTTTTTTTAAAAAAATTATACAAATGTAATAAATTTTTTATTATGAAATAGAAAAAAAAAAGTATTTAAGATAAACGAAAAATAAATAGTAAGATTAAATAATAATAATAAGTGAGAATTTCAAAAATTAATGTAACAATTTATCTTATTATTTATTACACAACTAATTTATAAAACAAACAGGGCCCACACGTAAAAGTCTCTGTTGGATAAAATTCATCACGTTTTTCTCGTTGGATGATGTTTAAAAAGCTAAGAGCTTCCATTAAAAAAATAATAAATAATGTAAAAGGTCCAAAACAAGCTTGTGTTCTTGGTGGGTCCAATAATAACAGACATATATAAATATAATCATTGCATAGTATCACTTAAAAATATTATAATTTATGAAAATAAAATATAATTATAATTATTATAATCTAATTAATTAAATTATAAGTCACAAAAATATTATCGTTTAATAGGACAAAATTTAACTTAGTTATCATAAATTTATTAATATATTAATAAATTAAATAGTATAAAAATATTATCATCAAATGATATATTGGCAAATTCAAACATAGTTCAAGTAATTTAACTTTTGAAAGATAAAAGTTAGGTGGTACAGTAAAAGAGTATATAATAGGAGAGATAAAATAATGTTTAATGTGGCACGTGTGGATACATATATACATATATTAATATTTTGTATGACGAAACGTAACACGTTGAAACCAGAAAACATAAAAAACAAGAGAATTTAATAATAAAAAAAATCAGACATTTCCAACTAAGACTTGATTCCCTGGCTCATTCTTAATGGTTTTAAATATCCATCTCCTCTCCTTCCTCTCACAATCCTCCTCCATTTCCTCAATTCTTCTTCTTCTTCTTAAATACTTTTCTCTCCTCCAATTATCGCAGAATGCTTCCAAAATTCAAGAGCTCCTCTGTCAATCCCTCCTCCGATGTTGGATTACTAATCTTGATACAAACTTCTCATGGAAAATCTAATCTCGTTATTCAATCTGCCTTGAAATCAGTCCAACCCACTTCTCAGTCTACTGAGTTTTGCTACCTCAAATCATGTCATCTCTGCAACAAGAAGCTGAGTCTAGACAAAGAAGTATATATGTACAGGTAAAAAAAATTAAACAACTCCCAACTCATAATCATAATCATACCCATTCTAGATCTAGATAGCTTAGGAATTGCTTAATGTTAAAGTTGACTTTTAAGATTTGGTCTTGGAGTTCTATGTTCATGAAAGTAAAACGTAAGGTTTTGATTTTGGTATACAAAAAATGACCCATCATTTGCTAGAGTATAAACTAGAATCTACCCAGAAAAAAAAGTCAAAAGTCCTTTTTTGTGGATTTTAATCCTTTTCTTCATTTCATTTAATTATATAAAGAAAAAGAGAAAGCGTTCTCACAAAGCCATATGTATATGTGTATTGCAATGCAGAGGTGATCGAGGGTTTTGCAGTACAGAATGCAGGAACCGGCAAATTGTAGTGGATGAAGTGAGAGAACTAGAAATCTCTACCAAGCAAATGATAGCTTCGTATAGAAATTGCAGTGGTGGCGGTGGTGGTGGGGGACGAGAGACTGGCTCACTGCTTGAAGATCTCCACCGGCAAAACAAGCCGCCGACTCACCGGAACCACTGGGCTATAGTCTCTTAGTTTTAAGATCCATTAACACTTTGTTTCTTGTCAACTGAATTAGACAATGAAAGACGGATGTTGGAAAAGTGAAGATTAGTTTTTTTTGTAGGATATATACTTTTATATACCAACAATTAATAGATATTTGTTAAAGCAATATCTTACATTTCTTTCTTCGATTCCATATATATATATATAATAAAAAAATAATGGTATATAGTTCCTATCTTTTATTTCAGTTTGGCATTTTAATTCTATTTAAGTTAATAAATTTTTATTAATTTATGTTTAAATATTATTTTAAATAATATTTTATTTTGATTAATATTAATTTTTTTTATAAATATTTTATAAAATCTGCTAAAACTATAAAATAAAAATTAAAAAAAAAAAATCTTACTGGTGGTGAAGTGATGGATGGATATAGGGTAGGTATATATTTATGTTTGTATTATAGCACGATATACTGATGCTATACCCACCTCGTGTTCGTACTGGGATTGGATAGAAGTTTATCCATTTAAGTTGTATTTTTCTTAATGATTTAGAAAATCACATGGATCCGAATTTGATTGGCTTCGAATACATATTGATCTAGAACATTAGAGTAATTGCAGTTACACAAATAATTAAAGTTATGTGATACTTTGGAAAATTTTTATTTTATTTTATTTTTTTACATTTTAAAATAATTTTATAATTTCTTTTAATTTAAACTTTAGTATTTTATACATAGTTATAATAATCAAGTATTGTTGTATGAAATAACATGGTTATACATATATATATATTTCGAAGCAGTAAAATTTGGAGCAATTTTTATAAACTATATAATATGACATATAGTTTATAGAACTACAGTAGAGCAATTTTTAAGGACAAAATTAAGTATTGAAATTACTTTGTATTAAATTGAATTGAGGTAGGGAGTTTTGTCCCTATTTTTTTTTTTATAGTTATAAACAAAATAGATTACAAATAATAGTAATTTAAAAAGATAAATTACTAAATCAAAGAGAGTTGTATGTTGTGGTCCAGACGGATGAATCACTCCTAAAAAAAAAATCTATTGATTCTCTCCTAATGGGCTAGACTGTAAGTGTGATGATTTACTTCATGGATGAGGTCTCTAGTTCAAATTCAGGATGACTCGGTTACACCAACAAAAATAATAGAAGAAGCATTTCATTCCTTCATGCATACTCCACTTAGCTTGGGGGGATATATCTCTATTGCTAAAGTTACACTCTTATAATTGGATCGTTACAATTATGAATTGAATGTCTAATTGTCCAAACAATAATAATAGTACCTTGTACATAAACTATTGACTCACTTTTTCTAAGTATAAGAAAGAGAGCTGAAACATGCTATTAAAATACTCTATTGAGAAAAACATAGATTGTCAAGAACGTAGAGGAGGTAGGATAGTTGGTCAAATCTAGTAGGGATCATAAATGGATGGTAGTTGGAATCGGCGACTCTACTAGGATTTCCTTATCTAGGATCACTGGGGAAGAGAATTTAAGTTGGCCATTGCAAACAGCTTGATGCACTAACTTCCTTAGATCTTTTGAGGAAAATACAGTAAAATAATAGGAAAAGATGTCCAAATAAAGACATCCACACTCAAACTGATAATTATTTATGTCAAACGAATTATATCTATTGATAGTAAAGGCCTAGAATATGAGTAATAAAATAATACTGAAATTTATTAATGCACGGAAGTAGTTTAGAATTTAGGGTTATATTCCTTGCACAGTTTGACTAGAACGCCCAATAGCATACGAGAATGCCCTTAAAGAGTATAAATGAAAAAGTGAATATAAAAAACCAATATGATCAACCTCTGCTGCGCAACTGGAGAAACGACAGACAACTTTCTAGTTAGTTTTCTTCTTGTTCAGAATCTGGGTCTTGGTCGTTCTGATATAAAATAGTTAATAATAAAGGGATGAGCTACACTAGTTCAGTAAAAATATCAACGTCTTACTACTGATATAGAAAATTAAAACTTTGTAGAAATCGTAAAAAAACTAATAAAATTAATTTTTCTTTCTTAAATAAATTTATTTAACTGAAAAACATTAATTCCTCACTCACCTATAAGTTCCTAAATGTCATTTATGAATATGAGAATCATAATGGTAATTTGCATTATGCATTCTAAAAGACTAACAGTAATTAACCTTTACCATTTTTACTTACTTACCGAGGTCCCTGAGAGTCCATATGAGTCCCCACTACACGTGGACCAAACATCCATTCAATAAATCAAACGGTCATCCCTATACCCTGTCTGGTAATGGACGTCAAATATAGCACCACCTCAATACCCCATTCGGTAATGAGCGTAATCAAAACAATTCTCAACCTCTTTCGGCATGGGATTTCTCAGCTCCATCTAACTGAGAGTAATGTCCACGGTAGGGTTTACCCTATGTACCAGATCCGTACACCCTTTTCTATGACATCTGGTAAGTCTTTTAATTTAACAACGTCACTTACACATATAAATTTTTATTAATATCTAGTCACCAAATAGGTGCAAAACTCACATTTTGCAATTACAAAAAAACAAAACGGTCAATTAATAAGCGACATAAATTAAAATCCAACGGTTCAAGAAACATAATTAAGGCATTAGTTGTAAATTGATATAACAGAATAAAAATAAAAATAGTTTGAGTAAATTGAATAGACAAGAAAAATAAAAATAAATTAAAGCACACTAAGATAGAACAAATAACGGTAAACAATTAAGAAAATGTAACAATAAATAGATAATACAGATAAGTTAGGGAGAATTATAAACTGATCGGTTACTGTCTCCATCGACAACCTATATTCAATTAATCAAGGGTCGCCCACCATTTATAATTTTCTGTTTATTATTAATTTGACTTTAATTTAATCGTAACAGAAGGAGGGATGAGGGATTCTCACCTTAGGTCTGTGTTCGAAATACCACATTTTTCACTACGCATTTCGGTTCCTAGAATTCTTAGATTTTTCTACTAAAACAAAAACATAAGTCAAATAATGTAAAAATACGTAAAAAAGGCAAAAAAGGCCATAAAACCTGAACGGGGACCGGTTTAGGGCTTCGACACGGCAGAGCCGCCGTGCTCCGCAGCTAGTTATGCTTTCTACAACTGTTCTTCCTCTTGGTCAGGCCGGTTTCGGTTGGTTCTCGACAAAACTCTATTCATTTTGGGGTTAAGCGGTGTCTGTTGGTGGAAAAAAGAAGAAAATAGAAACTTACCGGTGGTTCTGGCTTTTCGATGTGGTGGCTCTGCCAAGCTCCACCGCTTCTTCCTCGCGGTCGTGACTTTCCTTTGGCTACCCTACAACGAAAACATGTTAGATGGTCTAGGGTTGGGAATTGAAAGGAAATGAGAAAATAGTTCAGGCTCACCGAAGTGTTTTTCGGTTTTGGGTGCGGTGGCTCAACCGAGCTATGCCCTCTGTTTTTCGCTTCACCTTGGGTTTTCCTGCAACGAGAAGGGTTTTGGGTAGTTTAGAATGGAAAAAGGGGACAAATGGGAGAAAATTACACTTATCGGCGTCGATTTTGGTCTCTGCTACAGTGGCGATGGTGGTCGGCTTCTCCTCCGACAACCCTTCTTCTTCTTCTTCTTCTCTAACGAACTGGTGTGCAGCTAGGGTTAGGGTTTTGGTGGAAGAGGAGTATTTACTCCTCTTCTCTCAATCTGGGCTATCTATTTGGGCCCATGTAGACCAATCTCAGCTGTCGAATCTCACTTATTCGGGAAATCCATCATGATCATCCGATTGACGGCACATGGACTGTTTGATCGCACCTAATGGGGGAATAGATCTAGGCCATTCGTGCGCACAGGAGTGAATATGGATCGTTGGATCGTTTGGCACGCGGATTGCCCGCGTGGCCTCCTACGTGGAACACATGCTGGTGTGTTCGACACGCGACGCATGACGACTAGTCGTGTTGCTG